GTTCACATTTTAAGTACAAGTAGACAAATTCTGTTCCACAAGTTGCACAACAAAAACCTCTTACGTTCCCAGTTTTGCTTCAAATTGTCCAGAACTATTGTTGCAAAATTATTTGCGTGTTATAACTTTGGTGTTTTGTATCTGTTGATTTTTTGTCACAATTACAAAAAAAGTTACATCTCTTCAAATTCTTGAGTACAAGTACACAAATTGTGTTCTGAGTTGCACATGAAAATTTTCTTCCATTCAGTTTTGCTACAGTTGATCTAAAACAAATGGTGCAAAACAAATTCACACATGTGTATTAAATATATATATATATATATATATATATATATATATATATATATATATATATATATATATATATATATATATATATATATATATATGTATATATATATTATATATACATATATATAATATATATATATATGAATACATCTTCATGAAACTGCTGCTGTGAGTCACAAATTCAACTTAACATGTTACGCTTTCATTTTTACTGTTGATCTGTGACTTTTGGGTAGTACCCTTAATCGGACAGCAGGTGGAGCTGCTGTTCAGTCAGTCTGTACCAACCGGAAATACATATATGGCCTACTGCCATGATTCCTTCCTAGGACCCAGCCCACATATTCCTTCGAAAGACACAGCTGTCACTCAGCTCGTCAGGGCCATAGATATCCATAATGGATATCTATGGTCAGGGCCCATATGCTAAAGCGGTCAAGTTAAACGTCTTCAGAGTTAAAATAGATAGTTATGGAAGGTATGAGCCAAATATATATTTTTAATTACCCAATCATCAACATCCTTTGTGATGGTGAGCCAATAATAACAAAATAAATAAATAATAATAATAAAAACAACAACAACAATAATAGTAGAAATACATATTTAACATTCTAAAATATTGCCGTTTTTAACATTTTAAATATATATCTTTACTTTGACAGTAAGGTGCCTGCCAGAATAAAAAAATGATAAAATAAAAACATAATCATCATATGTGTCATATATTCTAAATTGGACTTGAAATGGAAAACACTGCTTTCCAAGGAACATCTGTGCTGGCCAATAATGGCTTTTCTACTAAATATTAACGTACTGTTTGTCCAGGGGGTCAAATAGTTGTTTTTCCTCATCAGATGGTTATCAGTTTTTATAAATTCATATGATGTGAATTTCTGGAATTTTCTTTGGGATTCTGTCTCTCACTGTTAGAATGTACATATGATTAAAATTGTAGATCGTTGCATTCTTTGTAAGTGGGCAAACCTGCAAAATCAGCAAGGGGTCAAATACTTATTTCCCCCACTGTATTGGTATTTCCGGTTGGTACAGATTGACCAAACAGCGCCTCCTGCTGTCCGATCAAGGGTTCTACCCACAAGTGACAGATCATTTTACCAATGTGAAATTTGTGTCAAAATTTGTGACTCCCAGCAGCAGATTTGTGTTAAGGAAAAAAAAAACAACAAATAAAAAATAGATAAAATAAAGTAAGATTACAATATATGTAGAAATATGTTGTCATTTCCCATGGTTATTTAATATATATACTATATGAACTGTTATTTAAAGAGTTTGCCCTGAATGTTCTCTTCCTAGGAAAAGAACTGGAGAGAGAAAGCTTCAAAGAGAAAACACAGAGCTTTACTTTACAAAAACATCATCTCTAATAAGCATTTTGTGCTTCAAAATCATCACATTTATTTTTTATTTATTATTTTTTTCTCTAACAAGTATTCTGTGCTTCAAAGTCTTCACGTTTATTTCTTATTTATTTTTTTTTCTCTAAGTCTTTTGTGCTTCAAAGTCTTCATGTTTAACATAACACTGATAGCTCCACTACCAGCTGAGAATAAATTATTCACAAATGGGCACTATTTGTTAATTTAGATAAATTCAACTTAGCCACATAAAAAAAAAATATTCTTTAAATATATTTTAAAAACTCTGTATGTTTCATGTGTATATATTATATAAAATATAAATATAGTAACCCTTAAATGTTGTTAACATGTTACATGTTTTTTTTAGTTCCGCTGTGGAAGAGTTTCTCCAACTAACTCAGCTCCTAACATAATGTTTTAAACTTGGCTAATGGGAAGAATTAGATACTGACCATCTTCTCCAATTTTGCCATCATCGTTTTCGTCACCTGATAAAACAAATCTTATTTCTTCTTCAGTTAGAGTCCGTGCTTCAGGGTTGAACCATTTTAAGAAGTCCCTGCAAACAAACACAAATATAAAAAAAGAGACTGATACAACCATCGGTTAAACCACAGTTTGGACCATCTCTAGCTTTCAACACATCAGATAAATGTCATAACAAAAATATAATCAAAGCTCTTTATCTATAAATGATTAGGATACAGTGGAGCCTAATTATATAGGTGATTATCAAACTGCATCTTTACTTTAGGTCTTTTAGCAAGATTAATGTCCCAAAAATAATAAAGTTTAGTAAAAGGTACAATTTCAACGTAGTTTATCAAGTACCACCCTAAAATATGTTGTTAAACAGTATTGCAGTAGGACTTGGACTTTTTGAACTTTTAGAGTTATATCAGAAATGAAAAAGAAAGAACATCCTCGTCTACTGACTCTGGATTGTTTGATGAATTTATTTCTATTCAGAAAGTTAAAATGGGAAATGTATTGTTGGAAATACTACCTGTAGCACTTCTGTTTTTTAGGGTGAGTTTGCTCCTGTGTTTTGGATATCATTTTCTTTCTACGAATACAACTTTTTTTGATTGCGGTTGCTTATTTTTTTGCATTTGCTTTGATGACTGTAGGTTTTCGCTGCTATTATTTTGTAATTGTAGAATTTTTATTTTGTATAATTATTCTGTTATATTTCTGTTTTTTTAGGTTTGTGTGTTTTGGACTTTGCATCTTACGTGTCTTTTCAGCACATTTCACTGTTTGCTGCATGTTTTCACCTGCAACTTGTTTCATTTTTGTTTGCACCATTTCTCTTTTGCATTTGTTTTTTGTGCTTGAATATTTTGTAGTTTTTATCACAAAGTGTCTATTTTTACAGCTGGTTTCATCGTTTAGAGCGTGTTTGCACCTTTCAGCCACTTTACTTTTTACTGCATTCCCAAATTCTCAATGTGAGGCTTTCCAGCTTACTAACATGCAGGCACAGCCAACATCTAATCTGTGACGTAGATAAAATAGGTGTTTTCTATTGACCTTAATGGATAATAAGAACAAACACTAATCATCAGAAAGTGCAGAATACTGGAAGGAGGACATGCAAAAGTAATTGTTAAAAGTCCGTCCGTTTCTTTAGTACCACATTACCCATGATGCATCTGTTCATTTTGTAGTTCTAATTTTACGTAGCTGAATAAGTTGTGTTTTCCATGCTTCTGGGTGGTTCGGTGGCACAAAATAGCATCCACCATTAATCCTACTTCAATCCAGTGTGTATGAAACCTGTGTGCGTTCTTTACGATGTAAGTATATATTTTAAGTCCGATATTGTGTTTCTTTTCTGTCAGTTATTAACCCAGGAGGTTAAATTGTCCTTTAGTTTCTCTGGTTACTGACAATGCAAGAATATACTTATAATAACTCAAGCTCTTTGNATAAATATGCATATTTATTGTTTATTCTGTTTCAGATAACCACACATCCATATACATATCTCTAAGAAATCCAAATATAAACCTCATCATCTGTACCATCATCTCCAATGTACCTGCTTCTATTCCATTAATAAACCTTTTGAGCTGCACCGATGGAGTTGGCATATTCCTTCTGACCGAGGAAGATTCAACTGATGAGATATCTGGAACTAGTGCATCTAGACGCACACAGTCTTCTACACTTCTTAAACATTATATTTTAGATCATTTTATTTTATTCTAGTTATCTTAAGGTATTTATGGTTCTGGTTCTACCCTAGAGGTATAAAATTTAATTCTTAATGTGAAGATGTGATTCAGAAAAAAGGAATAAAACAATCATAGCTTGTCTCATTATCTGAATCTTTCCCAAACCTCTACATCAACACTTAAAATCAATACTTAAAACGTTTCAAAGTTTGAACAATTTGGAAACGAAGTTTGAACTTAAGAAAATCTAAAACAGGAAAAACATTCATTTTCAAGGTAAAACTGCAGAGAAAATATATAAAATAAGTACACTGCGTGTAGAACTATTAGGCAAATTAGGATTTCAACCACATCATCCTTTTCATACATGTTGCCCTACTCCAAGCTGTATAGGCTTGAAAGCCAACTACCAATTAAGTAAATCAGGTGGTGTGCATCTCTGTAATGAGAAGAGGTGTGGCCTAATGACATCAACACCCTATATTGTCATGATCTGGCCTGTTTGTTGGTTATTTCTTTCACCTGTATTTTTCCCTCCCTGCCTCAATTATCATTTATTCCTCTCACCCGTTTCCTTTGGTTTATATTCGGTTCAGCCTGAGCATTCGGGGCCAGATCATTATTTGTTTTTCTGCTAGTCTGTCCGTTCTGTTTATTTCATGGTTCATGTTTTGGAACCTGGCAGCCAGTAGAAAGAGTGTTTTGTGTTTGTCTCGTCTCCTAATCGTCCACTGTTCCTCCCCACTTGAGTCCTCAGGGTTTTTGGCTCAATACGCAGTTATGAAAGGTGGCTATATTGTTCACTGATTTGTTTGATTTTTTGTTTTTGAATGTCTCAAATGTTTATTTCTGAATTTTGAGTTGTTATATTTTGTTTTACCTGGTGAAAATAAAAAAGTGAGATGGGTATATATTTGTTTTTTTATTACGTTGCCTTACAATTAGCAATTGGCCAAATCTAAAGAAAAAACATCAACTTCCAAAAATAGGAAACTTTGAAATTAAGGAGTCTTTTGGGTTGGTTGAGAACACAATTGTGGCCCTATAATAAAAATAATCCTCAAAAATACAACTTGCCTAATAATTCTGCACACAGTGTATTTAAATATCAGTGAATGATTTGGTTTGAAAAAACATAAACTCACTGCAGACTCTTCACTTTGCAAATTGGATTCTCCAGTATCTCACACAGATACTTCATTTCAGAGTCTCCAAAGGATACACCTCCATGGATCTTTTGTATTTCCACTTCAGTCAGATGAAGGTTGGACTTCAGAGCTGAGGCCACAACTTCACATTCAGCCTCATAGAGTTTACAGCCACCAAGTCTGTGATTAGAGGGGAAATAAAGACACTTCTAATGTAATCAGACAATCTGGATGATAAACACAGACTAAAACATGACGAGCAAACAATGATGTCATCATCTCATGAAGGTCTGCTATCCACATCAATGTCCTGTGTTTTACACCACATAATCTCTTCATTCTCTTCAGGTCCTGGTTCAGCTGCAGGCCAGGTGTGTTTCTGCTTTGGTCAGAAGCTCCATTGAACCACAGTGATGGACACAAACAGAGAACCTCAGCAACAGGTTTAAACAGCTCAGGCTTCATATTCACAGAACAACACTGAAGGTTTTAACAGCAGCCATTTTGGCTGCCTCTTAGCAAACCTCCCTCTTTCTTCATGCTAAGTTCATACTGCTGTCTGCTGCAGAAACAATATGGATCCACAGAAGATCTTCGTCAATACCAACATTAATTTTATAGAAAAGGAAGGAATGGATTTAATCCACGGAGCTAATATCCAAACAGTTAGAGCATTTCGGATGGTGATGATCAAAAATAAACTAAGCAGCATCAAATATTTTCTATTTACCTATTTTGTATCTAAGGTTCAGCTTCTTTAGGGTCATGGCTCCACTCTCTCTAAAAGCCAATGGCTGAAAGGCAGGATCCACTTTGGACCGAGGAAAATAAATCCTTGCAGGAAATTATTTGATAATGCCACATTCTGAAACCCATCCAGTGAAACAAAAGAAGTGAATAATCTATTCAGATGTCCATGGCAGGATCTGTTTATCTAATTGATATCAAAGCAGAATCATTTGGATCCACCCCCCAACATCCAGATGACCTCCTGACACTAAACAGTCATCAGACTCTCCTTCCTAAGAAAACCTTGGACCTTCAGCTGCAGTCAGATGCTGCAGATCTACCAGTATGTGAAGGAAAGTTCAGTTTTCTCTGCAGCATCTAATGGAGCTGCATCATTAGATGTTCAAAGGAACTGAAGCCACTAATGAAGAGGCTGCTTTTTTGCAGAAATTTCATAATCTCAGACAACAGATTTTCTTTCTGCAGAGGACAATCTGCCAGTAAAAATCCCAATGGTGTAAGTTTTTGTCTAGGCCAGCAGGCTGGGACATCACGGCTCCAACCCCAGTGACTGAAGCATCAATCCCCATCAGGAACTGTTTGGAGGGATCAGACCGGATCAAAATGGAGGCTTGGGGCAAACTTCTCTTTTAAAGCTGTGAATTCTGATGTTGCTTAAGTGATATAAAGTACACTCCAGTTTATTGGATGTTAAGGCAGATAATTGGGAGACTAATTGGCTGTAGTTCTTGATGAAACATTGGTAATTGCAAATATTTTTGACTAAAGGTATGGTAGTATAGTATCAATTATCTCTGTAGCTATGTAGAAAGAGGAGAAACATAACATCTGATAACTTTTCTTTTCTCTGACACACTTGAAACTGACGGTGGCGTTAGATGTAGGAGTTTGCCCTGAGATCGAAGGATTGACGGTTCAAGCCCCTGCTCTGACTTTCATTGTTGTTGTGTCCTTGGGCAAGACACTTCACCTGCATTGTCTACTGATGGTGGTCAGAAGGCCCGGTGGCGCCAGTGTACGGCAGCCCTGATTCTGTCAGTGAGCCCCAGGGCAGCTATGACTACAATGTAGCTCACCACCATCAGTGTGTGAGTGTGTGCGTGAATGGGTGAATGAATGTAGTGTAAAGCGCTTTGGTCAAGTTACCTGACTTGAAAAAAAGTACATGCCATTTACCTTTTACCAAAAACTGCAGACCAAGAAGAAAAGTCTTGTTGGCACAATGAATAAGAGCATTATAGTTCCCTGTGTCAAAGAAAAAAAGGCAGCCTACAGCACTAATTTGCTAAAAAAAAAACAGTGCCATGACACTTATGGTATATTAATTCAAAGTGCAAAAATAATGCATGCATTCTTGGCGCTGCCCACAACTCAGCCAGTACGTACATTCAGCACCCAAAAGCAAAACCAGAGCCTGTGGTCTACTACAATCACACAAAGGTTAGCATGGATGTGTTTGACCAGAGGATTAGTAAGTATTCTTTGAAAGCGCTAAAGCAAAGGTGGCCTGTGGCTGTATTTTACAATCTCCTGGAAATAGCTGCTAAAAACAAATTGGTTTTGTTAAGGAGCTTTTTGAATGTCACCATCATACAAAGGGACTTTATACTTGAACAGGCAAAACAGAGAGCCTCAGGTTACCAACAACTTCGCCAGAGAATTTTGTGAGGTGAGCTTTGGTGAGGTAAAAGAATCAGTGTCAGCCCTGCACACACAAAAAAAAAAACTGAAATTATGTTTGTCTCAAATGTGAAAAGGTGCTATTTATTGTTTACGAGGGGAAATAATAATTTAATTTATTGTCAAAGCTCTTGCATTCCCATGGGCAAAGTGTCACCCATCATATTGACTGCCAGTGGGAGTTCTAGTAGTGTCGTATTTCTGGGAATCCAAATTTTAAAGGTTTTAATGTCTCTGGCTGATAGGATCTTTGTGGAGAACAGAGATTTTCAACATTCTGAAGGTCTGCTTTTCATGTCAGTGGAAGGTGAGAAATTATGAAAAGCAAAATATTTGGAAAAATTATCCAAATTTCTAAATACCAAAACCTCTGGCAGAGCTGTCCTTAAGAAGCTGAGTATTTGGATGTTTGAATAGCTTAATCGGCCCAGGGATGAAGGAAGAAGTTAAAGAGATTTTTAATCTCAATGGGTATTACCTGGTTAAATAAAGGATAAATAAAAAATAAAAAAAAGAGCAAAAACATCCAGAAGCAACTAGAACAATGAAAAACAACCAGGAGGACAATAGATGTGAATCAGCATCACACCATGAGGACATCTGGACTCACCGAGCTTTTCTGCAGTTCCTCACAGCTGGGACCAGTCTATGCCGTCCATTCTCTGATGTTTTGTACTTCTGCAGATCTAACTCCTCCAGAATTTCCTCTGACATCTGCAGCATGTAGGCCAGAGCTGAGCACTGAATCCCTGTGAGCTCCTTCTCTGATCTGTTTCCTAATTTCAGGAACTGTTGGATCTCTTGATAAACTGAAAGGTCTTTCATCTCCATCAGACAATGGAAGATGTTGATGCTTCTATCAGGAGAGATTCTACGAGTGCTCATCTCCTTCAGATTGCTGATGGCTTTTTTGATGGTCCCTGGACTGTTCTCTATCTTACCCAGCAGCCCTCCTAAGAGGCTGTGGCTGGACTTCACAAAGAGACCATGAAGGAAGCGAGCAAACAGGTCCAGGTGGCCATTTGGACTCCCGAGGGATGTTTTCATGACTTTGTGCAGAATATGAGGTAGAGAGGAAAAACGATGCTTTAAGATATCAGAGGGATGTTCTTCTTCATCACTGTCATCTTCATAACTGGCCTCATTCTTCTCCTCAACTACCTGAAGGTTCTCCTCCCCTTCTGTGTTCCTGCCTATCAAACAGTGGAGCATGTAGACTGCAGCCAGAAACTCCTGGATGCTCAGGTGGATAAAGCAGTAGACAGATTTCTGGAAGATCACGCGCTCTCTTTTGAAGATCTCTGTACAAACCCCCGAGAAGACTGAGGCCTCTGTGACATCCACACCACACTGCTCCAGGTCTTCTTGGTAGAACATGATATTTCCTTTCTCCAGGTGTTCCAAGGCCAGCCTCCCCAGCTTTAGAAGAACTTCCCTGTCAGCCTCCATCAGCTCCTCTGGACTCGTCTCATGCCCTTCATGGTACTTGTTCCTCTTCCGCTTAGTCTGCACCAGCAGGAAATGTGAGTACATGTCAGTCATGGTCTTGGGCAACTCTCCTCTCTGCTCTGTGGTCAACAAGTTCTCCAGAACTGTGGCAGTGATCCAGCAGAACACTGGGATCCCACACATGATGAAGAGGCTCTTGGAGGTCTTGATGTGGGAAATAATCCTGCTGGCCTTCTCCTCTTCATTCCTGAACCTTATCCTGAAGTACTTCTCCTTCTGGACGTCAGTGAAGCCTCGTACTTCTGTTACCCTGGAAACACAGGAAGGAGGGATCTGATTGGCTGCTGCAGGTCGGGAAGTTATCCAGACAAGAGCAGAGGGGAGCAGGTTCCCCTTGATTAGGTTAATCAGCAGAACGTTGATTGATGACTTCTGTGTGATGTCAGAAACAAGCCGACTGTTGCTGAAGTCCAGAAAAGGTCTGCTTTCATCCAGGCCATCAAAGATGAAGAGAAGCTTCCAGACAGCCAGCTTCTCTGCTGGGAGCTTCTGGAGGTTTGGATGGAAAACATGGAGCAGCGTGAGAAGACTGTGCTGCTGATCTCTGATCAGGTTCAGTTCCCTGAAAGAAAACAGAACCACAGCACTGACATCTTGGTTCTCCAAGCCCTGTGCCCAGTCCAGAGTGAACTTCTGCACTGAGAAGGTTTTACCAACACCAGCAACGCCGTTGGTCAAAACCACTCTGATGGCTGCATATTGATCAGGTAAGGCTTTGAAGATGTCATGGCACCGTATTGGAGAACCATGGAGGTTCTGGATCTTGGAAGCTGCCTCCAGCTTCTTCACCTCATGTTGGGTATTAACCTCTTCACTCTGTCCCTCTATGATGTAGAGATCGGTGTAAATATTGTTGAATAGGGTTCTACTTCTTGCATCACTTCCTTCAGCCACACATTCACATCTTCTCTTTAGACTGATCTTATTTTCCTCTAGAACCTCCTGCAGACCAAAATCTGCTGAAACACAGAACAAAATATGACTGAAAATAAAGATTGGAAGATGAAATTGGAACCAAACCATCTTAAACATTAGGTGTTATCATTAAAAGGTCTCTTCCTTCACGTCTGAATGCTTACACACACATATATGAAACTTCGGAGGTAGCTCGCTTTTGACAGGCTGAGACAGTTAAATGAGAATAATATGGATTTTTGTTTTGCAGTTTAGATTTTTTTAATTACTGTGTTTTTTGTTGGCGTTTGTGGGTTTGTTTTATCTTATTAGTTCTGCTACCAGCTCTGTGCTTCAGCACCGACAGAAAACTTTGATAGCTCTGTTGGTGGTGCTGCTTACTCTGCCTTGGCCCTGCCATCTTCTGAACCTTTCTTTCCTCTCCTACTTCTGTTTGTTCACTCATTTTCACCACTTCTTCTTCCAGACTAGCTATGCTTATTCTTCTTCTCTTTATTTCTTTTCCTCACTCATGGGGCAGGCGCAGCAGACTATTTCAATCATGGCTTTGGTTTTGAGATAAAAGCATAAACGTGACACAGCAGTCACATTTGGAAAACCACGCCTTGCTGGAATTTTCAGCCAGTGGTGTTTTTTTTTTTTCGAATCCTGATAATGATGCATTAAGGGTTCACAAAAAACTCAGACACAAAGTTCTGACATGCTGATGACATCCGACTACAACTTGGCATTCACGGAATGGTCAAAATATCGCATTTCGCACAGAGGGCATAATTGTCATAAAAATAAGATAATTATCATACATCTGACATACACACTCTTTAGTCACCACATGCATAAAACAGCTCTACAGAGGCAGTCAGTCCAATATTAGTATGAACAAAAACAACAATAATAATAACCGAGAACTCAAATTATAAAGTATAATACATGTGAAATAAAAGTGTGATATTATTTTAAAATTTTTATGTTTCCCTCTTATCTTTCTTTGGGATCATAGCTAACATTTTTAAAACCATAAAATCCAGAGGATAGTGTTGTCCCTACCAACACTGATGATGATCAATATTCAATTTTAATTAGTAAAATGTTACGCCCTTAAAATATTCTTCATGAGGTCTACTGTTCAGAGAACGTTACCATGGTAACCAGCATAACTAAGAATGAATCCAGTCTTGTGGCACCAGAAAGTCAGGGAAAAACCAGAAGTCGTCACACTAATCCACTAATCCTGCTTCATGGTACAGACCTAGACTTAAGGAACTGTCCAGTTTTAATTGATTCAGTTCAAAGGGCTGAAACAAAACCAATTTAGAAAACCCAATAGATTTTCTAAAAAAAGAGACTTGGTTGGAATAATTGATCCCAGAAAGACTTCAAAAAAACTTAAATCTTAAAATCCAACTAAAGAAATGGAATTTGTTCAACAGAGTGGGTAGAAGGAAGCTCTGATTTGAGATGTTCAGTCTTACCTGCTGCACAACTGCTCTGACTGGCTGTCAGCGGTCCAGCTCTGGCTCTGGATTTCTCTCCACACTGGGGTGTGCTCTTCCTCTCTCTGTGAAAACATTTCTTCATCACTAAAATGGTTAACTACCAACAGTGTGGGGCTGTCCTACTGAAGCTGAAGATGGTCAGGAAAGTCAACCACAAACAGAGGACAGCTTGGTGAGGACCGTTTCTTTGCTTTCTATTTTCTTTCTATTCTTGATCCAAACTGGAATATGGGGCTCCCCAGTTAGAAGGAACTGATTTAACTCAACAGCTGTTATATATAGATCTCTAACCTGATTGATCATTCCAGCCTTGTTCTGAGATCATCCTATTAACTTGAAGATTAAGCTCATTCTAGATGAGATTGACTGTGGAAGGAGGAGGAGTTCAGCCTGTGAGCTGGAGCACAGTCAGTCTTTACCACTGAAACCAGTTCAAACTGGGAACTGCAAATTAGCTTTTAGTGTGTCTCTACCATCACTGCTGTGTTCTATCTTCCAGCAGCTCAGCTCTGACACGACCTTGAATCTGACAGGTATGAGGGTGGAAAGAACAGGAAGGATTTAGCTAATGGAGCTACAACAGGAACCAAGCCCAAGACAATTTGATCAGGGAAAATAGCTTTGGCAAATGGGGCATTTACTCTACCAACACATTCTAACTCCCAGCTATCCAAATACTGATGCCCGGTGAAAGGCCACTGTGTGTCATACTGACCGGACGGGAACACCCTTCTTATCATTGCTGATTTAGATTCAGAACTGAACAACTTCTGGGATTTATCAAGCAGGAAGGAGAGAAAATGACTTTGGACCTTTTATTGTTCGGTTGGATGTTGATAAGAGAGCACCAGAACAAAGTCCAAACCAGAGAGACACTTAAGATCAACCATTTTAGATTATAGAGGTTCTATCTCTGCAGAGTTACATCAATCAGTTAGAGACTGGTTCTTTACCTTGGATCTGAGGGTCCAGATTCTGCACTGAAGTCTAAAATGTTTTCTTTGGACCTGTCGCTCCTCATAGACGGACCCGTGGATCTCGAAGTTTCTGCTCTGTCGTCCTTTAGATCCCAGTCTTCCATCTTCTGGACTTCAGTCAGTCTAAGAGAGAAACCAGAACCAGTCAGTTCCCAGTGGTTCAGATCCAAATGTCCCTATTTTGGAGGACCTGTGGCAGCAAAAGTTGTCACCATGATTTGCAGGTAGAGAGAGAAGTTGAGAAATCTTAATAGGCCTACCATCATTTAAACAGAAAAGTTTGTAAATTTTCACTAAGGGTTTATCTTATGATTGATGTTTTATAATTGACTAATAATCTTTAGTCTATATATATCAGAGCTAATTAGGAATTGTTTTGCTAATGTATTATACTGATCTGGTTGAGTTGTGTTTGTCATCTTCAGCATGAGGAAAAGCTAAGATGAAATGAGAGGCAAACTGCAAGACGAGAGAACCCATGGACGGAAACAAGAGGAGCAGTGTATTCTCATTATGAGTTCGTATGAAATCGTACGAAAAGTTATGCACCCTAATTTCGTAAGTTTTGGACGTTTTTTTTGTCGTATGCGCATGCGCATTTTACGCACCATTCAAGAACATAGAATTTGACATACAATTAACCCTGACCCTATAAAACAGCAAGCAACATAGTTAGAGACATGAAGAAGTGATTATTGCACTGTTTTTCCCAGTTTTACGTCCGTCCACGGATCTGCTTTTTTAGTCTGTCTGCCTGCGCATGCGCACTAATCTGGTTTTTTGAGGAAAAACGTCCAAAACGTACGAAATAGTGTGCATAACTTTTCGTACAATTTCATATGAACTGATAATGAGAATATGTTGAGAGGAGGGATCAATGGTCCCCTGATGAAATTGAAATGTCCATTTTATTGGTTAAGCTTGTAGCTCCAAATATAAATAATTGTGTTAGTTATTTTTTTTTTAGGCTTTCCCATGTCAATATCAGAATTGTATCATATCCGCCAAATTTGATAAATATATGGTGATCTAGGTTTTGTCATCCAGCTCTAATTCCAGCAGTTATTGATAGCTGACTGACCTTAGATCTGCTGGTCCAGGATCATCACTGAAGAATGGAATGGAGATGATCTTTGGTCTTTGTCACTATTTATAGAAACACAGCTGGGAGCTGGAGGTGCTGCTCTGCTCTCCTGTTTTCCAATAAATGTTCCTCTGTCTCTTCTAGTTTGAAACCTGTCTGAAAGGGAAACGGAGACACTCAGTTAACAACATCATTGTTGAATTGTGACCTCTGACCTTAAGTTCTGCAGTGAGGGCTGAAGAACCAGAACAAATAGGTCTGTTCCGATAACAAGAAGTTCACAGTGAGAGCAAATGTTATAAAAGAAACCACCACAGCAACCTTTGTTTTTACAGATATCAGAGAAGCTTTGTTCCTCCATAGATCCAATCATCATCAACACATTTATTGGTGTTGATGCCAAACAGAGCGGCAGACCCAGAGATAAAGTAACCCTCTCTGTGAGCAGATAACCAGTCAGAGTTCACGTCTCTCTCTCCTCACAGAGGGAAAAACTCACTAAAAGTAAAGTTACAATATATGAGTTTACCTTCAATTTCAGACTGTTTTAATCCACCTGTTCTTCAGAGACCAAATAAAACCTGAGCTTGTGTCTTCTTCTTTACCTGCTTCAGGTAAACATGAGAACCAGGAAGCACTCAGCCCCTCCCATCCTCATTTACAGGAAGTCAGGCGAGTTTATCTCTGACTGTTACTAAACATAATGGGTTATAGGACATTCAGTAATCATATTAATTATTTAACCAAGATATTTATCATGAAAGAGACATAAAGATGGCCTTTGTTCATAAGCTGATATTTTCTATTGCGTTATTGTACATCTATACGACACATCAGAAGCTCAGTTGCATAAAAATATTTTTTATCAAAAGTCAGATCTTATTTATTTTTTTATCTCTAAGTAAAAGTATGCTCAGTTGCTCTCTTGTAAATTTTAATACATCTAGTTAAAAATCTTTAAGTTATATATTGCCTTTACATTTATCAACAAAAACAAACATTGAAATTTTTTTTTATAAATTTGAGTTATTAAATAACTACATCTCTGTAAGTGTGAGTTAACTGGCACCATTCTATCAGCAAATCCAATTTTTCTCATGACAATGTTTTCAAATTTGTGGTCAACAATCGTGAGCATTGGGTGACACTCTCCTTTGTTCATAAAGTGACAACAAAGATACCACTCTTGGAAGTTGTTGTGACTGGATTTGATAAAACCTTTAAGCCTTTCTGTATAAAATCAATATTTCGATCAAGATGACAAAGCTTGTTGCTATATATACGAATTATACTCTGAATTGTAGTTACTGACAATTGGTTACCATGTTTTATTCTGACAAACCAGATCTTTTTGATGTTCTTTTTCCTTATTAGTGTGATTGCAATTGCTGATCTTGACCTGGCCGGCTTCCTACGGATCGGAGCGGAGAAAAAACTTGCTTGGCACCCATAACCCCATAAAGACCCTTAACTCCACACTGCTCCCTGGGCGCCACGAATGGGAGCCCACTGCTCCCCAAGGAGATGGGTTAAATGCAGAGAGTGAATTTTGTTACACTGTAATTGTGACAGTGTAATAACTAGAAAAAAATACTGTAAAAAATATTTTGATGCTAAAGGAAGGAGAAGATGTACGTGGATGTGGAACAGTTATCATTGATTAACATGACTGCACATGTGCTCAGCACAACATACGTGAGCGGGGTGGAGTATTGACAGAGGATGTGGAATCTGGTGGTTAGATGCCCTTACTGTTCACTGAAGATCTGTTTCTAATAAAAGTTTTGAGGAATCTGTCTGTCTGCCTCGATACTGGATCCTATTGTTCTGCACATGACACAATGCTTTCATGAATTGATGGACCTCAGACTTTGAAACTGCAAAAACTTTAGATCTTATATCATTTTTACTTTTGAAATTATAGAATAAGTGTGGGGGACATTTAAGGACTTTTTTTTTTTTTTATAAATAAACTTTATAATCATTCAGGAGGCCTTAATAGTGTCCGTAACCAGGGGAAAAAATTGCAGTGACCACATCTTGAAATAATGACCTAAAATATGGAAAAAAATAATCTTTCAATTGGGTCTCTTGTCTTCAATTGGTAACTGTGTCCTTAACACTGAGGGTTACACATTCTCAAAATAAATTATATTTACACTAAAAAAGTCCAATTTAATCATTTTATCCACGTAAAATGCAGAGTGGGAACCAGGTTTTATGTTGAATGTTAGATATACAAGCACTGGTGTGCTGATTACCCTCAGACCTTGCATACTCAACTCAAAATAAACTTGACTGCAGTGAGATTGTATTGCTGCTGTCTGAGAGATATAAATAGATAAAAAAGGTGAAGCTTTGGCTTTGCAGAGATGATTTAGAGCTGCATATACTTTTGTTCTTATTTTGGACATTAGCTAAGCTCCACATTTGAAATCTTGAAAATCGGATGAAAAAGAAAGAAAAAAAAAACTTATTGTTTCACTTTGCAGTGAACTGTGCTGAATGAGAGGAAGAAATCACCATTCTGACAAGAGAAAGGAGAATGCGCTGTTGCACATTATAAAATGTGCAGACATCAGTGATGCAGAATGCTCATTTCTATGCACAGATCGATTATAGGCTGATTAGTCTGCTGGCAGCATAGCTTTTTAAAACCGTTTTTGTAACAGAGATGGCAAATCTGATCACACCATTACATTTAATTACAAAATTATTACTAGTATATTAGTTGTAAAATTGGTCAGTTAGTCCTCCAGTAACCTAAGCCATGGCAGCATAGCTACACAAATAGTTCATGATAATCTAAGCCAGTCTAACTATCAGTTTTATCATAAAGGGAAGGTTTAAGCCTGGTCTAGAAAGTAGACGGGGTGTCTGCATCAGTTAAGTCGGGGCTGTTTTCACAGGAGAGGAGCTTGATAATTAAATCATCAGCCTCCGAATCCACTTTTCTACAAATCACTAATAAACCTCTAATCTGACAGCAAAGTCCTCCATTAGGTTAATCTGGAACAATCAGATCTCTGATTTATAATTGAGTTTGATTGTTAATGGCTTCACATGTAGGAAGCTGAAATTATAATCTGGATTTTACAGGGACTCGGTGAAGGAACACTAAAATAGGATAAATTGACACTCTATTGTCAGGTGAACCCGATATTCAGCCAGACACAGAGTTATGTTTAAAGGGTTTATTGTAGGGGTGAATAATTGGCAGATGAAGAAGGCAAACAGCCACAGTCTTGGCAGAAGAATTCTGTTTGAAATTGCTGGTTTGCTAGCCTGGCGTAGTCCGACTCAATTCTAGTCAGAATATGAGTCTGATGCTGCTCCATAGAGCTGTGATTATGGGGCGTGTTTCGAACGAACCAGGAAAAAAAATGCCTCTGCACTCA